TACGATGACACAGGTCAATTTTAACAGTTACATGGAAAATGATTCATCATATTCTAAAAACACCTAAGCAAAGATTTCAATAACCATGAATTACATCCAAACCTATGGCTTTGGAAAAGAAATCTGTATTCGAAGCACAATACAGTAAATTTACATGTGACAAATTCCTGATCTTCGTTCAGCCATTTGGAGTTAGCATTAAGCACAATGCAGTCTCTCCAGGGGAAAGGGCAGAAAATGCAAGATAACTATTTCATCATCGCACATCTACCAACAGCAACTTTATACCTGATGCTGCTACAGATCTTGGAGCAGATGTCCTGTCAGGTTGCTTAATTTAAAAAAGAAAATGTACAGGGATTTTGAGAAGAAGCGAGAAGAGAGAAATAAGAAGAAATATCTTTCAAGGAGTGAGAGTAAGTATCTTCTGAAGTTTAGTAATGGAATAAACTATTGCTATCTTTAAAGGAGGATGATCTCTCTATTAAAAGAGTTTTATAAATTAAATACTTTGAAGAGACACTTCATTTTACAAGCAGATCAATGGTGCATTTGATGGCTACAGAGTTATTAATAGCCTCAAAATCAGACATGAATGGAGGATATTTTGGTTTTCTCAATGATATTATTGAGTCACAGTTAATTCATATATGGGAAAATACAATTTTAACAAAGAAATTCATTCTCTTAGATATTTATCTCCAAAATTATTAAATATATTAGGTCTAAATTTAATTATGATTTGCATTTTAGTTCACCATTAACAGAACTTAGAAGTTCCAATGATAAAGCTAGGAATTGAAAAACAAAATTAGAAATGGTTCAAAATTCAATCATCCTTTCAATACATTTTCATCAATTTGCAAAATACTCCGGGTCATCATTTATATGCGCTGTACCAATACATAAAGCAAAAAATGCCACCATTTTAAGATATGAATTTCTCCTATCCCTCTTTTTTTCCAACTCACTTGACAAAGCAATTATATTAGAATATCTCCTGTTCAGCAGGCACTTACTTTTCCCATTTCACATAGTTGACTGAAAACGGCATGCAATTCCTTAATGTGCTCATGGGAAAAAAATATCTTACAAAAAACTCTGGCAGGTATTAATTCCAAGGGCTTGTCAACAAAGAGCAGGAATCTCAGATGATTTCTATCTTTTCTTCTAATTGCAGGAAGCAGGTACTTTAAACTACTAATATCTCTGGGTTAAAAGAGATGCTTTTGAAGATACTCTGCCATTTTCCATGCTTAAATTCATTGGGAAACAGACTGATATATTAACATAAATTGTGGAAGCAAATTTTAACAGCTAAATCAAAATCAGTGAAAGAAAAATAAAAGACTAAAACATTACCTGCAAGAAGTTTCTGTTAGACGGCAGGAAAAGTGAGAGAAACAGAGACAGCAATAGAAGTAGAAATATAGAAGGTTGAGAAGCCAATGTTGTACAGTCACACCAAGGCTTTAAACAGTGAAGGCACCTGTACATTGTAAACTCAGTTCGTTCTGCTGCCTACCATTGGCTGTCAAGGTAGCAGGGGTTGATGGGATCCCAGAACTGTGCATGCTAATCCCTAATAACAAAACATACAGTAATAAAAAAAAATGCAAAGCTGAAAAATAGAATTCTTATGATTACAACAGCAAAGTAAGAATTTTTCATTTAATTTGCGACTTAATTTCTTAGAACATTTTACGCAGTTGTATAAATTTAGCTTTTGAACTTAACCAAGAAAAATTAAAATGCTAGCAATCCCTTCATTGAACAAGTAGAGAAGGGGTTAATTTCTGTCATGCATTCCTGATTGGTGAGCTTCCCTCTGATTTCAGTGGGGTGAATCACATGCTAATTCCAAAGTGTAGTGCAATTCCCCTTTCCGGTTGATTGAACTTCTCTCTGTTGTCAGATCAGTTCAGACTACGGTTGCCTTTAAAGCAAAAATGCAGCAGCAGTGCAAAGTTAATTGTTTCACACTGCTACTATTGTTGCATTCTAAGCAAAAAGACCACTCTGACCAGAGATTAGTGCAAAATATAATTAGCTTGGCAAAACAGACCATAAGTAGTACGAACTGGAGTAGGCTGTTTAGCCCCTCGAGCCTGCACTGCCATTCAAAAGGATCTATGCTGATTCGACATTCCTCACGGCCACATTGCTGCCCTTTCCTTATAACCCTCGATTCCCCTACTGATCAAAAATGTCACTCTATTTGTCTATAAACATTCTCAAGGATCTGCCCCAATAGCTTTCTGCAGCAAGGAATTCCAAAAACTCTCAACACTCAGAGAAGAAATTCCTCAACTCAGTCTTAAATTGGCACCCCTTTATTCTAAGACTACGTCCTCTGGACCCAGACACTCCCACTAAGGGAAACATCCTTTCAGCATTTACTCAAGCCCCTTAAGAATTCTACATGTTTCAATGAGGTCACCTGTCATTTTTCTAAACTCTACTGAGTTTAGCCTTTGCTTATAACACAATCTCTCCATACCAGGAATTGTTCCACTGGAGGCAACTAAAAGTCAACAGATTTAATTTCAATTATTTTAAGTGCTATCATTGAGACACACAAAATGATAACACTAACTGATTACAAAAGTAAAACAATGACATATCAGGAGATCAACTTTAGAACAAAGAGCTTTACTCGAAAATGAAAAAAAAATTCTCATGTGCTGTATGAGTTTTCAGGTAAAATACTGACAATCAAATGGGAACCATAAATAATGAATAACCGTTTCAAATGGTGAAAGCTTTGTTTGATGCGTTGTGTTATTTTCACCTAAACCACAGCTGATTATCACTGGATAATCATGAAATTACCACTATCATTAATTGCTGAATGTGGATATCTTCCAGTGAAACCAGGTTGCTATCCATCACATGACATTCTTTACAATTTTTTTTATTGTTAATGAAATGGAATAACTGCAGAAGTTCCATAGCTTTTGACTGTTATGGACCTTAACTGTCCAAGCTTTTGGTTGTACACCAACATGTTAGCAATATGCCAAAACATGATTTCACTTAAGGCACTTGCAACTAGAATTTTTTTGGAATTTACCTCCAAAATTTATAATGTTGTACTATACTATTTTTTCCTGCGTAATCTGTAACTCAAACAATGATGAAGCCTTATTACTACCGGTCATATACCATCACATCTGTGTCAGCTCTTTGAGAAAGTAAGCTAATTAGTCTCATTCTGCTGCCCTGTGGTCATTGCCTTGCAAAATTTTGACCTTCTCAAGTATTGTGCCAAAGTCCTTTTGAACATTACTATTCAACTTGTTTCCAACGTATCATACCATCTTTCCATGCAAACTTTTCTTCCCCTGTCACGTTTCTGGCACTGTCTCGCCACTAAATAGGTGATTGACTTTGTCAAAATCAGTCATAATTTTATATATTTCTATAAGTGTCCCATAAGCATCTCTGCTTCAGGAAGAGCAATACCAGTTTTACTAGTTACCATGCATAATCCCTGGTATAATTCTTCCTTCACACGATCTTCAAGGCTTTGTCACACTCCCTGAAATATGGTACATTTCCTGATAACTGGAGCAAATTGTCTCACATGATGGACAGCTGCCCAGGAATTCAAATTAAAAATAAACTTTCAGAACTAAAACTGGTTAATAAAAGGCTAAAACAAAAAAAAAGGTCATTTTCTACTTCTGGGTGCAGAACCAGGAACATGATTACCCCCACTCTCGATCAGGGTGATGCAGGCAACCCACAAACTTTATGCTCATCAGTTAAACGCAGTTCAGCTGAAAGCAAAATATCTCCCTCCCTCCAAAAGGCGGTGTTGCCTTCCATTCTCTGAATCTAATTTACCTGGGACAGATCCACTCTCAATCCCATTGAAACTGATCCTATTCCAATTAAAGGTTTTTTATTCTAGATTGCTCCATGTCCTTTTCCCTTAAACAACCTAAACCTTAGGACACTATGATCACTGCCCCATAAATGTTTTCCTGATAATTGATTAACTTCACAGAGCCAGAAACACAATGATCAAGAAATTCTGCTAAACACATTTCAGAAACTCTTCGCTGCTATGCACATTCCCACTATTCGAGTATAAATTAGGACAGCTGAAGATCTTTATCATAATCATTCTTTAGTTCTTGCACTTCTCTGTAATTTCACTCCTAATTTGCTCCTCCATGTATTTCTGAGTAGTGGGTAGCCTCAATAGTACCTATATTATTTCATGATTCCAACCAAATAGATTCTGTGCTTGACCTGTCCATGGTATCTTCTCTCTCCAGTGCTGCTATATTCTCTTTTATCAATACTGCCATCCTTCCTTATTTCTTTCCTTCCCTTACTTACTTTCCTGAGCGACTTATATCCAGGAATATTTAGTATCTGGTCTGATATATTGCTAAACTAAGTTTTCATTGTTACCATGTCATCATATTTTCATGTGGTTGTGTGCCTGTTGTAAACTAATCTTACTTATCGCATTTAGTGTGTTTACATTCATGTACTGTAAATCTATTTTAGTCTTTACTATACTCCGTCTTGATCTAACACTACCAAAATCTTATTATTTCTTGCTTCCAGTACCAACTATGTATTTTTAAAAGATTCTTTATGCACGTTTTATCTCCTTTTTAGTGCCACATCTTGGTTACCTACCCCTGACAAATTAGTTTAAACTCTCTCAAACAGCACAAGCAAAACTTCCACAAAGAATATCTGGCTGTGTTCGTGTGCAACCCTTCCAGACTGCACAGGCTCCTCCCCCTCAGAACTAGTCCCAGTGTTGCACAAATCTAATGGGCAATGAGATCTGTAACCCCTCTGCACTCCCTAACAAATCAATGAGGGTTAGGTTTATGATATAAATATTCAGGAGAAAACTAATCTGGGGGAGAAGTACACAGGACCACTAAACTTGAACTGTGCATTACAAAACAAATTTCCTGTTGATGCTAAATACTACAGTGCATATATAAACAAAGTTAGCTCCTCTTTAACGTATGTTGTGTCTGACCTAAGGCATATGCCTGGTTGGAGTCTTCAGTAGATGAGGAGTCTGACCCAGGATTTCTTCGAGCAGGGCTTCTGTGCGAGACAGCCTGAGACCTCTTTGGATTGATGACACTTGAATAGAACCATAAAAGCAATTAAACAATGATGTAAACTAAATTCAAGACTGAAAATATTTGACAGTTACATGAACCATACAAGACTTGGTTGATAATCTTGCACTTTGTCCACTTAACATCCCACAAAATTTAGTTCCCTCATAAATTTGCAGCCAAGCATTAAAAACAAATCAACTATTCCAGCATAAAAAAGCACAAACATATTCTAATTATGACCTTTCATAAAAATAGCTTTCACTAACAGGAGAAAAAAAGTTACACAGATCTTAGGTTTTCTTAAAATTTAAGCTAACAGCAGGGAAGGAGGAAGGGGAGATCAGGTGATTAAACAGTCAAGAGCATTAAACTGCATTTTTCTAACTTCCTTAATACTGGATTTTGAAATTTAGATGTAATCAATGTTAGCAAAGATGAAGTATCATCCTGGGGGCGTTGTCCCTGAAATACTACAGTCTTCTTGTGAAGTGGTCCCAACATGAGGGATTGATGTTTTTGTCCCAGCAACAAACACATGAGCTAAATAAGAATTTGGAAGCCATGGTATTCTTAAGATCTTGCTTGAGAGATCTTGCCCTTCTTGGCATTATAGGTCAGGAAACGGTTATTTAGGTAAACTTGGTGAATTGTTTCCTCCCACAGTCCAAGCATATGCAGGTTAGGTGGATAGGCCATGCTAAATTGCCCTATGTCCGGGGATGTGTAAATTAGATGGATTAGCCATGGGAAATGGAAGGTTACAGGAATAAGGTATGTGGATGGGTCTGTGGGTTGACGTGGACTTGAAGGGCCAAATGGCCTGCTTCCACACTGATTGGATTCTAAAGCATATATGTTTTATAATTGGTTGCTTTTAGTTTGGAAGCAAGGAAGTGGTGCTATCTCGGTATGTTGTCCTCAATTCAGGGTAACACATTTTAGGAAGGAGCTGACGGCTTTGGAGTGGCTATAAAACAGCTTTACCAGAATGGTTCCAGGAATAAGAGATTACAGTCATGTAGCCAGAGCGAAGAAGTTGATTACCAGTGAGTAAGATGTCAAGTGGACATTTAGTAAAGCTATTTAAGTTTCACTTTGGATTTAGATAAATGTATATGATTCTACAAATGAGATAACTGCTTCTCTCAGATAGTTAGCACAGGCTTGACAAGTTGCATGGTCTCCTGCTGTGTCGTAACCATTCTGATTTTTCTTTTATTCTGTGATAAAGAGAAGCTGTTTCAATAGATAGAATTGGATAAATACTTGAAGGAAAAAGTACTTGCAGGGATATGTAGAAAGAGTGGGAGAGTAGGACTAACTAGATTATTCTTCAAACAATCTAATATAGTTTCAAATGCCAAGGTCACTTTCTGTGCTGTACTGTTCTTTGACTCTATCTAGGATTGATTTTCATTCCTCGCTATTTTTGCAGCTGTGTCTGGCAGATAAGCAAGCTTTCCATCACTTGAACTTTTCAGAAAGACAGGATACTGGATGGGCATGGCGGGGGAAACGCGTGAGGAGATAGCTAGCATGTTTGCCTTGTCTTTGTTTAGCTACTGTCTGCATGTAATCACATGGGGAATGGGAAAGCGACAGAGCATGTAACCAGTGCACAGTTCCAGTTATGATGTCAGGAACCACATTCTGTTGACAAAATCTCATCCATATTCTTCTTTTCAAGGTCTCTGCCCAAAGGCAGGTCCTGGGCAGTTACTTGCCCAAACATGGCTAAGTGCCATTGTTTTATTTTACTAGGTAAGGACAAGGAAGTAGGCTCTCTCTCTATCTCAGGAGAAAGAGCTTGCAAAATCCAAACTGTTAATCTGAGCCGCATTCTAGCTATCTGGCCAAAAGAAATAACTGGACCCTAGAGTCTGGGATACCACAAATTTACATACGGAAATTATTTACTATTTTAATTTGAAAATATGAGTGACCATACAATGGCATTCACTTTCGAATGTTAAGTCAAAGAGGAGATAATAGAGGCCCAGACCACAATATTTCAAGAGTAACCAGATACAGAAGGCATGCCAGAGGATTTTAAAAGGGAAGAAATGGATAAAGTAGGTAGCTAAAGGATAACTAGCCTAACATCAGAAGTAGTTAAGCTTTTAGAGGCCACAGACTTGAGAAAATGGGCTGAAGAAACGTTAAGAACAGATGAACATGAAATTCCTTTCTGAAATATTGGCACTGCATGCACCCATTGCCATTTACAATTGCATGTCTGGTTGTGTGCAATGGTCCCGCCATCAAGTGGTGAAACACTTCACTAAAACTTATAAATTACATTCTCACAATGTAATGGGAATTTGATTTAGATTCAATAGCTGCCATTTGAGTTTCACTAGACTTGGGAAATATGATAAACTACCAGTTTAAGAAAGCAAGTCCAGCTTACAGCATGCTTCCTGAGTCATGAATAGTCCATCCAGCCTCTCAAACAACACTTTCACCTCCTTCTCTGTCTAACTGTAGTCTGTGTCTCATGCCATCACAATCACTCAGCCTTATGCTCCAAAATTCCAATCTGTAATTCCGTCACCTAGTTCTTTCTACCCAACCCAACCCCAAGTCCCATTCGTCAATCATACCCACATTCCCTGACCTACACCAGCTCCTATTCTGCCAAAGCCTCTGATTTGAAATTCTTTATATATAAATATCCATGACCTTGCTCCTCTCCAAGTCTTGATGTGGAAGGCAATCAGCTTCCATTCTCCCTGAATTCAATTCTGGACTCAAGTGTCTCCTTCCTTTGTACCACCACTGGTTGTGCCTTGAACCACCAATATTCCACATTCAATAGAATATGGGCCATTAGTCAAACCACAGCTGGAATACAGCATGCAGATTTAGTCTCTTTCATAGAGAAAGGTACACTTGCACCAGAATGGGTGCAATGAAAGATAAGTTGTCTAATCCCTGAGATGAAAGAATTAACTTAAAGGTGAAATCAAGTAGATCAAGCCTACATTTCTTTGAATTTAGAATGGTTGCAAATTTTTAGATTCCTCTATTCCAGACCTGCGGTTGGGTGCTCAGTTCTTCAGAATATTCAAGAAAAAGATTAATATTTTTAGTAACTAAGGAAATTAATGGAGAAAGTAAGAGAAAGTGAAGTTGAGCCAGAAGATCTGCCTTGACCTTAGTAAAAAGTAGAGTTGGTTCAAAGGGCTTACTTTTGCTTCTTTTCCCAAGTTACCTCCCAGCCCGACTTCTTTTCTCTGTCTCTCACTCCCACAATGGCCTCATTACGAGCCCTCCTGCAGCCCAGGTTGCCCCACAAAGATGGTGCTAAGCCAATACAAGACAACAAGATGCAGGGCTGGATGAACACAGCAGGCCAAGCAGCATCATAGGAGCAGAGAGGCTGACGTTTCGGGCCTAGACCTATAGAGACAAGGGTAACATGACCAGTAAAGACCTTTGCAGATCGCCATCTATAGGTTATATGCTTAGTTATCTGTGTTTAGTAACAAGCTTCACCTAATGAAGTACATAAGTAACCTGATGCGTTAGTTGTTAAATTTACTTAACATTATAAAGTGGTCCATTGCAATAATTAAGTTCCCAGAGTTTGGTTAGCAAAAATTTGCACTTTCCCAATTTACAAAGGTTCTAAGTAGACGGCATTACTGCAATGTCACACTCCTAACTACGCAAATCTGTAACCCTTTAGAAAGTTTACTTTTCGAATGACCTCAATGGCATAAAGAAGCTTCACAGAAAATTCACAGAATTCACAGCAAAAATAAAAGCCATTAGCTAAGTGCAAATTTCAGAAAAACTGGAATTATGTTCATTATAGTAGAATAAGTAAAGAGAACGTCTGACAGGGTATTCAAAATCATGAAGTATTTTCCCTAGTAATTTACGAAGACTTAAAGGTTCTGATCTAGATTGATTAGTCAATGCCAAGTCTAAGCAGCAAAGCTTACAGAAATTGGGAAATTTGGGATCTTGAAAATTCTTGCCTGCCAACAGTTTCAGAATTATGGCTTTCTCCTTTCAGCCCTGAGGCAGATGTGAGAGCTCCAGGTGATTGATTAGAGAAGCAACTGACAATAGTAAAATAACTATGCTGTAAGTCCTGAAAGAAAATTATAATCTCCCTTTTCCATTATCTGATTAAACGCGGTAAGGCTTGGTTCTGGAAGTTGAAAAATAATGAGATGTGCACGTCATTATACAGGCAAGCCCCAATGACTTCAGCACAACCAATCAAGATTCAGCAGAATTTCACAGTATACAAGGCATTCATAAAAGATTCAGGGGATACATAAAAGATTAAGGATAGATATGTGCAGAAGTGATTAAAAAAAAGTGAACGTTTTAGCGCAGAAGATTGTTTTGGGGTAGGGGAATGGGTCTGGGTGGGATGCTTTTCGGTGGGGCGATGTAGACTTGTTGGGCCGAATGGCCTGTTTTCACACTATAGGGATTCTATGATTCTATGATCTATAGTAGACTTGAAAGCATCATGTAAAGAGCTAAGTGACTGCAGGATTGTTTGGTAAGTACTATGACAATGTGATGCAAGCTGTCAATCAGAAAGAAGCACCTTATCTATTGGATTACAACATCTTCTCAGATGAGGGACTACATTTTTTTCTGTTGTTTACTGGTCTCATTTGCTTTAGGAGTAAGGGAGATAACGTACACTTCCTTTTTTGGTGCCTACTCTGAGACTGTGACACATAGTTCCAGTCTCCTCAACCACGGGAAACATCCTTCCAGTATTTATCTGGTCAAGCCTCTTAAGAATTCTAAATGTTTCAATTACAGCACTTTTCATTCTTCTAAATGCATACTTCATTAATATATTTATAGACACATACAGAGAAATTATGTACTTTTTGTGTGCAATTAATGTTAGAGTAACCAGAGACTCTTCTGGAATACTGTGCCCTGTTCTGTACGCCCAGTTATAGGAAGGATATCATCAAGCTGAAGAGGGTTCAGAAGAGATTTACCAGGATGTTGTCGGGTATGGAAGGTTTGAGTTATAAAGAAAAGTTGGACTCTTTTTTTTCCCTGGAATGTAGGAGGTTGAGAGGCAACCTGATAGAAGTCTATAAAATAATGAGAGGTATAGAGGAGGTTAATGGTAGTTGTCTTTTGCCCAGGATAGGGGATTTCAAAACTAGGGGGCACATTTTTAAGGTGACAGGAGAGAGATTTAAAAAAAAGACATGAGGCAAATGTTTTACACAGGGTGTGGTTTGCATGTGGAATGAACTTCCTGAGGAAGTGGTGGATGTGGGCACAATTACATACAAAAGACATTTGAATAAGTACATGATTAGGAAAGGTTTGGGGAGATATGGGCTAGGAGCAGGCAGGTGGGACTAGTTTAGTTTGGGATTATGTTCAGCATGGACTGGTTGGACTGATGGGTCTATTTCTGTGCTGCAAAACTCTATGACTCTATGACTCTATGAGCAACGTGTGCACTTTTGTCAGCAGAGATCTCAGTGAACTCATTTAAAGTAGTCAAAACTGATGAGGTAGGTAATTATTTTTCTTATTGAACTCCTAGATAATTTCAGTGACATCATCATGGTGTTTGTTTAGAGTATTAAAATTTGCATAACATTTGATTAGAGGATTTAACAATAAGAGCTAATGGATTCTCCAAAGATAAACAAAAATAATAATACTCTCTTTATCTTGGTATTCATTTCTTCCATAATGCTCTGAAGCAACATAGGTAAGTCTTTTTCTATGTTATTGTATTGCTTAAATGCAACCTTACTTTTTATTGTGCCTGAAGACAATGATATTACAGAGGAGCACTCTTGGACCAACAATTTTGGAATTTCAGACCTTTGGGAAAGTGGCCTTGACCATTTGTTTCCCATACCACAAACCAATATCAAAGTTAAACACATGCCATATATACATAAAGATAACTCACAACAGGTAAAAGAACATACCTGTTTTTGATTCGTCGCTCACCTCCCACCATGGACTCAGTGTCTGATCGATGGCATGGATGTTTTACTTTGCGTTCAGTGTCCCCTTCCAGCAGATTTGAAGAACGAAACAAGTGGTAGCTAAAGTTGGGTGTACTTCTTCGCTTTGACTCAGAAATTTGTCTAAGATCATAGGAAGATTTGCTGACGATTGGAGGATGTTGGTCCCACAAAGTACGATATATCTTGTCTTTCGAGATGTCGTACAAGGGCTGGTTCAATGCTGCTTCTGACCTAGACATGCGTCTTAGGAGTTCAGAACGCATTAACTGAGACTGATCAGTTAATCTGCTGTGTGCACTGGCAGCAAGACTAATACTACTATTCACCCTGCCCATGGAGAATAAACCTGCAGAATCTCCATTGTAGTTCAGGTTGCTGACAGATAAACTTTCTGAAGAGGTACGGGTGGGGGAAAGAAAGAAAGAAAGAATTCAGTAAGCACACTGTTATTACTGCCTTCCTAAGCTCCTCTTTCTCTCAAACTGCAACTCCGCACTACATTCAGTGAAACAAGTGAATTGGAAAAATCAGAGGTGATACTTCTAATGTTTTTTTTCCCATGAGAAGGATTTAGGTTCTTAGTTGAGACTTGACATAAGGAGAATTGCAGTCATAAACATACATCTAATCTCTCGCTGGTATGTTGAAGCTGCGTTACATATTGCAATATTACACTAAAGCAGATAAAGTCAAATTCTTTTCTCAACGAGTTTTGTGATTTGATACCTCGATGAATATCATTAGCAGCTTTACCAATAATCTATACACTTTTTAACTATAGTTTCCAGGAATAGAAATTGCAGAGGCACTACACATATTTTCTCAGTCTTCCTTGGAACCCGAGAAGTCCCAGAGGACTGGAAAATTGCAAACATTACATACTTGTTCATAAAGGGCTGTAAGATTAACCCCAAAAACTACAGGTCATTCAGCTTAAGCCTGGAGATGGGGAAACTTTGAGAAACAAATCATTCAATACAAATCGGTCAAAGCTGTGGACTAAATATTCGTGAGTATGTGACTTTCTGAAAGGACAGGCAAGATGGAAAGGGTGGTGGGGTAGCATTATTGGTACAGGATAAAATAAGCACAATAACAAGAAATTACCTTGAATTTGAAGATACAGAACAGAGATTAAATCAGAAGTAATGAAGGTGTGTAACAAATGCATAATTAATCATGGGTGGTTTAATCATTCATGTAGATTGAGACATTCAGGTTGGCAGACAAGGCATGAGGAAGAAATCAGAGTGCATTCAGGTCAGTTTCTCAGATCAATATGTTGTGGGACCAACAAGGGATCAGGCTATTTTTGTATTTGGTGATGTATAATGAGGCAGGTTTAGTAAATAAAAACCAACAGAACTGCAGTTGCTGTAAATCAGAAACAAAAACAGAAATTGCTGGAAAAACTCAGCAGATCTGGCAGCATCTGTGGAGAGAAATCAGAGCTAATGCTTTGGGTCCAGTGACCCTTCCTCAGAACTAGAGAAAAAGTGCTTGGAAAACTAAAGCAGCTAAAGACCAATAGGTCCCCTGAACCTGATGGGATGCCCTCCCAGTATATTAAATAAAGTAGATACAGAGATAATTGATGCACTGGTAGTAATCTTCCAGGAATGCTTAGATTCTGGAAAAATCTCGTGGATTGGAAAACTACTAATCAAACACTTTTATATAAAAAGGGAAAGACAGACAAAAGAAATAGGTAACCATAGACCAGTTAGGTTAACATCTGTAACTGGGTGAATGTTACAGTAACAGGACAGCATTTACAAACATATGTAAACAAGCAGAGTCAGGATGGCTTCATGAAGGGGAAATCGTGCCTGACAAATTCACTAAAATTCTTTGAGGGGATATCAAACAGAATGCATAATGGGGAAGCAATTTATGTAATATATTTGGGTTTTCAGAAGGCACTTTATAAAGTACCACACACATTAGGCTAACAAGACAAGAGCCCATGGTGTTGAAGGTCGTATATTAGCATGGTTAGAGTAAAGGGGCTTTTTAGGTGTTGATGTGCTGCAGGGATCAGTGCTGGGTTCACAGTTATTCAAAATGTACATACACCAAGTTTGTGGACTACACAAACAGAAGTGGGAAGGCAAATAGTGAAGGCAACACAAAGGCAGAGGGATTTATACAGGTTAAGTGAGTGGGCAAAAACATGGCAGATGGAATATAATGTGGAGAAATGCGAGGTAGGCAATTTGCCAGGAAAAATAAAGAAGCTGAATATTATTTAAATGGAGAATAATTGCAGAAAGCTACAGAAGAGGGATTTGGGAGTCTTTGTCCATGAATCACAAAGGGCTAGCATCCAAGTTCAGCGGGTAACAGGGAAGGCAAATGGAATGATGGCCTTTATTTCAAAGGGTATGGACTATAAAAGTAGGGAGGTTTGGCTAAAACTATACAAAGCACTAGTCAGACCATAGCTGGAATACTGTAAACAATTTTGGGCCACTTATCTAAGGAAAGATATACTGGCAATGGAGGCAGTCCAGAGAAAGCTTATTAGGTTGATATCACATACGGAGGGATTGTCCAGTATGGAGAGGTTGAGTAGATTGGGCCTGTTCTAGTTGGAATGTAGAGGAGTGTGAGGCGACCTTATCGAAATATTCAAAATTCTTAGAAGCCTTGACAGGGTAAATGCAGAAAGGTTCTTTCCTCTTGTGGGACAGGACTTAAGGCCATAATTACAGGTTGCACATTCAAAACAAAGATGAGAAGGAATTTCTTCTCTCAGACAGCAAAAAAGCCTGTGGCACTCTTTATCACAGAGACCACGTCATTAAGTACATTCAAGGCTGAGATAGACATTTTTTAATCAGTAAAGACATCACGGGTTATGGGGAAAAAGGCTGGGAAGCGGAGCTGAGTACTATCAGATCAGCTGCTATCACACTAAATGACAAAGCAGTCTTGATGGGCTGAATACCTACTTCTGCTCAAATGTCGTTTGGTCTTAAGACAAAATTAATAACCATTTAGGCAAATGCAGGTTAATAAGGAAAGCAAGCATGGATTTCTTAATGCAAAACCATGTTTAATTAGGTTGCCTGAGCTCTTCAAACAGGCAAAAGCAATGTATTGATGTACTTCTAATAGGCATTTGATACAGTGTCACACAACAGATTAGTTGACAAACCTATAGCTCAAGGAACAAAAGGGATTGTAGCCTATTGGCTGAATGACAGGCAACAGGCAGTAATGGTTTATAGATTTTTTTCAGACTGGAGGATGATGTGTGATGGAGTTTTCCAGAGGTCAATCTTGGGACTCTTGCTTTTCCTGAAACATATACACCCTGACTGGGGAGTCAGTCTGGGACATGTTTCTCACTCGTCAGAAGACTCTAGGATAGGGTGGAGCTTGTCTGATTATCCAAGCAATGCTGTCACTGCTGCCAGAGACCTCCTCTTTCACCTGCCAATTTCCAAGCTTAAAAGAAAACGAAGAGAAAAGAATAAAAGGAAAAAGAGCAAAAGGCAAAAGAAGGAAATAAAAGAGAAAGAAAGCTGATGACAGCAAATGAGTCCTAGTCTCAGTCTCTACTCCACTGCCATCTTGAAAAAATAAGGATAAGGAACTTTAGCTGTAAATTTGATGAAGTACAGTTTTCCTTGCTTTAAAAGAGGCTAAGGGGAAATTTGAAAGAGATATTCAGAATCACAATGGCTCTAGCCAGAATAGATAAGGAGCAATTGCTCCCTCTTTTTTAAATGTTCAAGAATGAGAGGGCACAGATTTAAAAGTTAATGGTAAATGAAACAAAAGCAACGAGAGGAAAATCTCTCTCGTGCAGCAAGTGATTAAGTTCTGAAATGAACTACTGAGAACATTCTAAATCGAAATAGACTGTTATATTAAAAGGAAGAAAGTTCAAGGTTACAGGGAGAAAACAGGAGAATGGAACTAAGCGAATTGCTCATTTGGAGACAAAAACAAAGAACTGCGGATGCTGTAAATCAGAAGCAAAAAGTGATCAAAAACATTAACTCGGACTTCTGTCTACAGATGTTGCCAGACCTGCTGAGCTTTTCCAGCAATTGCTGTTTTTTGTTTCTGATTTACAGCATCCGCGGTTCTTTTGGCTTTTACTTAGTGCTCAATTGGCGAGCCAGTGCAGGTACTGTGAGCTGAAAGGCCTTCTTCTGCATTAGTAGTGATTCTGTCTCTTTATGTAGCTCTGCATCCACTATAACTAGTTCATTACTGAACAATATAACACAAATATTAAGTTTGAACATGAACACCACAACCCCATTCGTCTCTTTTCCAAGAAGTAAAATAACTCAACATCGGGGAACTTGGGTACAACTTCATGTTAGCCTGTAACCAGACATTTTTGGTTTTCACAAAAAGCAATAAACTAGGGTTTCTCATTTAAATATTTAAATACTGGTAGTAATCAATCGATTTGACTGAAAGATTCACAATATGGCCTTTCCCACTCCTTTACACTGTGTTTTGTGCATGTGTAAGTAATTGAACAGGAATCTGGATCATAAATCATTGTTGGTATCAAGTACAATCTAACTTATAACAGAATGGATATATGGCAAGATAATTATAAGGAAATTATTTGAATCTCCATTTTAACATTTCACCCTCCCCTCATCCATTTGGTTGCTAGCATTAAGAAATGTACTGCTTACCATGGAACAAGGGTCTACAAAATACACGGAAATCAAAAGGTATTGCCATACCAATTTCCTGCAAATCCTGATTGTTCTTTCGTGCTCTCATCTGCAGTTGGAATTTGTGCTGGGATGAAGCCAGGTGCAGGAGATACTGACAGGTCTTGCTGCTGTCTGTCTGAAACTGATGTTTTATTCCATCTGAAGTGTTCTGTAATGTAATCTTCTTTCTCTGTATCAACCAAGATACAACATAGAGCTTGGAATAAACATAAATGATGCACTGGATCAAGCAGAAACTGATAAGAGTACAAGGTAAATCTAATTTTAGTTCAATGCAAAACTGCTTAATGCAAAAATGTTTAAAGCTTATAATATTTACCAATTATGAAATGCTAGCAGGTTTCTTATCAAGTTTACACAGTCTTGATCATTTATATGTTTAAGCTAAATATGTAATTTAAATCAGATGATTTTACAATTTTCCTTCCCCAATTTAGTTTTCCCACCCAAGGAAGACAAGAATGCTTTGAAACGCTTGCTTCCAAATAATTACAGGCTAACTTGAAAAAAATTGCTCATTTGCTGTCAGATGGTTGGGACACATTAGTAAAAGTAATTGTGACTTTGGTAAATAAGGAAAATAATAGATAAGTCAACAATCACTCTTACTTAAAGAAAGAGCAGGAAGGAAGCAAATTTCTAAAGCTGCTGACGGATTTTGATGTCTTACAAATAGAATGAACTCAGTAACACAGAGAAACTAAACGGAGAATCTAAAAGACAGTTTATTCACAAATAACGAACCCAGTGCCTGAGTTAAAGTGCTGCACCATTTAATTATCGCTTGATTATTTCCACTTATTTTTTACATTTTAATCAAAAAACAATTTCTTCCCGCAACTTAAAAAACATGCACAAAATAGGACTTAAAGTATTTTTCATTTATATGTATAGATCCCTGTCTAACAGTTTTCAATCTTTAAAAGAAAAACTGACTATATATTTGAAGCTTAATTTACAAAACAAATACTACAAAGCCAGATTTAAATGACTAAAGCACTAAAAACATTAAATAATATTGAGCTACAGCTGAAAGATACTTACAGTGAATGCAATTTTTTTGGTATCTCTCCATGGAAACCGAAGGACTACTGTTCTGAGCCCATTCTGAATTTCATAAACAATTACACCTTTGGAACAAATACCCAGATTGATTCCGGTTAACGATTTCTTTTCTGGAAGAACCCGATAGAACTGCACCCCATACTCAGGCAGTTTTTGGCATATCTGAAAGCCAAATTAAATGAAAAGAAAAGATAAATATATACACAATGCAAAAAAAGATATCTTGCCATTTTGAGAGTAAGTAACAAATACAGAATGCTGATGAAAATTCATTCATCTAAGTCATCAGCTTGCAAGCTGCAGCGCCGAAGCACAAGCTTAAACCTTCACTGAATTATCTCTGGGCAACAACTGTCATCTTCACTGAACGTTCAGTCTTGCACAGACGGCTGTCAGAATGGTCACTAACACACTCAGAGACAACTGTGAGGGTACAAACTAGCTAACATGAACTTGTTTTGTATGTGCATGTTTGTTTCACTGCTGTGATTGAAGCTCTAAAAAGACAATTGACATTATCGTTGCAAAATATAGGAGAACTGAGCAGTGGAACACAAGAGAAATCCTTTGGGAACCTGCATCTTCATTACCTAATTACTTATAAGATTTGCATGCACCATGATTTTTGAAGATATTCTGCTTCACAGTTCCTATGGCCAAAGTGAAGTACCCCATAATTACCCACATTACACTCCATCTTGTTGCCCACTCAACTTCTCTAGATGCCTTTACAACATTTTTGTCTTCCACTTACAAGCTTATGTTCCCACCACATTTAATGTCATTAGAATTCTTGGATACATTACTCTCGGTTTCTAAGTCATCAGCATAGTTTGTAAATAGCTAAAGCCCTAGCACCGACTCTTGGAGCACTCCACTAGTCACCACTACGTTTTGCTTCCTACTCATTAATCAACCCTCAACTGACACTAATAAATGACCTCTAGCTCCAGGAGCGCTTATCCTGCCTGACAACATTTTGAAAGCTTTTTGGAAATCAAGGTATATTACATCAACTGGCTTCCCTTTACCTACCTTATTAAGTATATCCTTAACAATCTTTTAAACTTATCAAACATTATTTTCCTTTTGTAATATCACATTGACTTTGTCTGATTATACTATGTCAATATAAAAAAAGGTGATACTAGGTGGTTTGAAAAAGCATTAGGTAGACAAGTCCCCAGGAACTGATGAGATCTATTCCAGAATATGGAGGGAGGCAAGGGAGGAATTTGCTGGGGCCCTGCACAAAATCTTTGTATCCTCTTTAGTCACAGGAGAGGTCCTAGAGGATAGGAGAATAGCCAATGATGTTTCTTTGTTTGAGGGGGGGCAACAGTGATAATCCAGGAAACTACTGGTCAGTAAGCCTTATATCAGTGATAGGGGAAATTATTGGAGAAGATTCTTAGAGACAGGATTTACTCGTGTTTGAAAAAATATGGAATTACAAGCAACAGGCAGCATGGTTTTGTATGGGGGAGGTTATGTCTCACGAACTTGATTGAGTTTTTACAGAAAATGACAAAGATGATTGATGAAGGCAGGGTGGTAGATGTTGCCTACGTGGACTTTAGCAAGGTCTTTGACAAGGTCCCTCATAACAGACTAATATAGAAAGTGAAGTCACATGGGATTCACAGTGAGCTGGTAAGAGGATACAAAACTGACTTAGAAAGGAAGTAGTGGTGGAATGGTGTTTTCCTGACTGAAGCCCTCTGGCCAGTGGTGTTCCACAGGTGATCAGAGCTAGAACCTCTGTTGTTTGCAGTATATATGTATTTAATTGATTTGAAGGCGAATGTAGGTGGTCTGTTTAGTAGGCTTGCGAATGAACAAAGAATGGGAGAGCTGCAAGCAGGATATAGCTAGGCTGGAGACTTGGGAGAAGAATGGCACATGGAATTTAATTCGGGCAAACGCGAGGTGATGTATTTTGGAAGTTCTAATGCAAGAAAGAAGTATACAGTAAATGACAAAACCCTTTGAGGCATTAACAAATAGAGGGATCTAGGTGTACAAGTCAACAGTTCCCTGAAAGCAGCAACACAAGTGGAAAAGGTGGTCAAGAAGGCGCATGGCATGCTTACCTTCATTCGTCGGGCAATTGAGTATAAAAATTGGCAAGTCATATTGCAGATGCATAGAACTTTTGTCTGGCCACGTTTGGAATATTGTATACAGTTTTATACACTATCAGAAGGATATGGAGCCTTTGCAGAAAGGGTTTACCAGAATGTTTCCTGGTTTGGAAAGTATTAGCTATGAGGAGAGATTGGACAAACTTGGTTTGTTTTCACTTGAACACCAGAGGCTGAGGGGCAGCCTGATAGAAGTTTAGAATATTTTGAGAGGCACAGATAGAATTGACAGTCACAGTCTTCTTCCAGGGTAGAAATGTCAATTACTGGTGGACATAGCTTTTAAGGTAAAAAGGGAGAAAGTTTAAAGATGTGAGAGGCAAGTTTCTTTTTTTACATAGAAAGATGGCAGGTGCCCAGAACATGCTGTTAGAGGAGGTGATAGAAGCAGATATGATAGCACTGTTTAAGAAGCACTGTGACAGACACATGAACAGGCAGGGAATAGAGGGATATTGGCTGTGTAGAGACAACAGGTTTTTAGTTTAGAAAGGTGTCACATGTCTGCATTTTTGGCTCTTTATTTTCAATGCACATTGTTAAAACTTTCTTATAAATAGATCCTAGCACTTTCATCATGGTTCATTTTAGACTAACTTGCCTGTAATGTGCTTTTTTTTCTTTTCTGCCAATCTTAAACAGCAGTGTTACATTTGCTAATTTCCAATGAGCTGGGCCCAATCTAGAATCTGGGGAATTTTGGAAATTCATAGCCAAGGCACTGAACACCTCAGCAGCTACTTCCTTCTTTTTATTAAATACAGTTGTAAAAGCTCTTACAATCTGCTTTTAAGGTCCTGGCTAGTTTGCTCTCATATTCTATTTTCATCCTCTAATAACTATTTGGTAGCTCTTTGCTGGTTTCTAAAACACTCACAAACCTTAGATTGCTACCATGCCTTGCAACATTACAAATCTCTTATTCTGTCTGGTACTGTCTTAAATGTACTGACTGAACTAATGATTATTTTATAATTTTAGTGGAATTGCCAAGTTAAATGTTTCCCACTGTTTATTTATGCCCACGTCTTTTAACCTATTTACCTATTCAATCCATTGTCAGCTTATTCTCGATACTTTTGCAATTGGTTATGCATAAGCTTGGGATAGGAATATATCATTTTCAAACCTGGAATTTAATTGTATTATGATCACTATATGCCAAGAGGGGAACCGTTATTATCAATGATTTTTTTGTTGTGTGAATAAAAAGGACAGGTAACCAATTGTACTATTCCATAAGTTTATCCAAAGTTATAAAGGAATCCAAAATTCATCTTTTGCGTTATACAAAAGCCTCAAGAAATTACAAGCCAATGAGCTGCATACGTGCAAGTATTTGGCTTTCCCCTATTTGCAAGTCACAGAGTTAATAGCATCGCTGCATCTTCAAATTCATGCGCACTCGGGAGTGCTCCAGATACTGCAGGATTTAGTTTGATGTGCATGGTGATAAGACAATTACTTACTGACACTCAATGAATACTTCTCCTTCAATGTAAAGAAACAGTACAAGTAAATTGGCTGATGATACTGAGCTGGAGGAGGAAAACAAGTAACATTTCTAGCTTCTAGAGTTCACTGTTGAATTCTCAAATGCACACACATCGTATACTGAATAACCTAAAGGAAGAAATTACAACTGAATTAACAGTTTGATTTTATTCAACTGGTAAAACACATACGGATTGACCCATAATGTTGTTCATTTTTATTGCTACCATCAGCACAATTTTACATAAAAAATGTAAAAAATTATTTGCTCCACCCACTAGCTGAATTGACAACTAGATTTTAGGGGAAAAATTGTTTTCTCCAACAACAATCAAGAAAATGGTATTACTGTTCCCCAATTGCCATTAAGACGGATTACCTTTAGAAATTCAAGTTCAGATTCCACTTCTGTCGCTCCACAATATGTGCTGTGCAGTTTGGGCAGCTCCTCCCTTACGTAAGATTCATCCAAAGACTCCATCACTCCAATTGGTAAATAATGTTCAATTCTGTAATAACTCATCCCATGAAGCTATAAACGGAAGTCAAACACATTAAATATTTTTCTGCTAGAGCACAGTATTGATTTAGTACAGTTTATTTCTGGAAGGAACACATGGATGTGTTTTGTCGCACAACTGAAGGAAATTTCTGTAAACTTTCTAGGGCATAAGCCCTGTATGAAAGAAATATATTTACAGATCATAAAGTCTCTGTTCCTTTTGCATAAGTGCCTCTCCTAACTTCCATAATTAACAAATGTTTTAGCCAATGCTTCATTCAGACCAGGCACTCTCAGATACCTGCCTTCTTTGCACAATTGTTATATTTACAATGACTGACCTTTTTTTAGTTCAAATCCTAACATGATGAGATTCAGAGATTCTGTTCCTGGGTCTAGCTCCAAGGCCTTTAATACGGGCATCAGATTTTCTTTCTCCTGGTTTGCAATTTGCTAGCTGGGGTGGAGAGTGAATGAGCTTCACATTGTCAGTCTCAAATATTTTGTGTGTGCACACCCAGCTTTCGTTCCTGGTTGACAATTTATTGGAAGACAAGGGGAGTGAGATTTCTACTATCCCCATGCATGACATATATGTTAATCAATCAATGGGGGAGACAAATGGAATTTTGAGGTGAAATTGGCAGGGTGCAGCCTCTGTGGCTTCTCTAATCTGTAACTATAGAGGCTGAGTCTCATTGTGATAACTACCAGGAACTTTCAGCTCACACCACAGGCAAATTTATAAGCAGAGCTTCTACTGCCATTTTCATGAGATTGTGTAAACACACAGGCTTTATGTTGAAAGTTTAATGTGTGAATGTTACTAATTAAGTATTGAAGTTTACTCCCCTCCTGTTTTATTTTGGATCCCCAAACAACTCTCGTACCTCACATAAAGTCCTTAAAATGAGATAATCCGGGGAAAAGGTTTGGGAAACTTTGCTTCAAATTAAGGAACTCCCTTAACCCTCAATTATGTCAACTCGTTATTTTGATAACTTCCTGATTTCACTTCCGGCTTTACCACCTGAGAGGATTCTCCTGATTAATTAGTTGTCGGCCTGGTTACTGTTTGGATGTTGACAGATGACACAGATTCCCTACAGAAAGCCTCCGGTTTAAACACTAAAATTAAAAATGCTGGAAGAATTTGAACTCTAGATTACTGCTAAAACTTTGCAGGCAGCTATTAGAAATGAACAGTGAGCACCGCTCCTACAACGCTGACTACAAAATACAAGCCATTACCATATTTGCTCTTTTCAATTTTCAATATGACGAAGATGTGTAGATGGCAATTTTCACATACTCCCCTGGTGGGATCAGCTGAAATGCTGGTTTTGCTCTCAATTCAAATACACAGATCACAATCAATCTAAAAATCCAGCATTCCACCTGATCCAGTCAGTTTCCTAACCCTACATCCTTCATTAAAATTGCTCTTGTAAAGTTTTAAAAGCCACAAGTTGGGAGACAGTGCATTTTGAACCAAAAGCAAAACATTATGGTTCTGGATGTAGCTGCAGCTTATTCAGGACACTTCTACTGAACAGTAGATGGATGCAGACCTCTGGTTGGTAGTCTCCGAATTCAGCCTGAAGGGCTAACGAAGCAAGTAGCATGGCCGTTTCATCACTGCAGTGCAACCTCTCTTCCAATATATCCCTCCTCAACTGCAAATAGTACTGATGCCTGGTCAGTGTGTGTCTTCAAAAAAAATTAAGAAAAATGTGAATAAGTGATATATTTTCTTGAAACAACAAACAATAAAAATTATTATCGTAAAATATCAGTTCTGCGTTTTTTTTTGTTCCAAAATTAAGGACAGCAGAACTGAGGTACACTATAAATCAAGTTTGGAATCCATCACAGATAGTATGAAAGTTCCCTTCCCTGGATAAATATAAAAGACCTACATGAAACTAATTTGGGCAGTCTTCTTTCCAATTTCTACCAGTGCGCAAAGCTGCTATTATTTTGAATAAAATGCCACGTAATTATACAGAAGAATGTATGCCATAAATATAGTCAAAGGGACCCAATGATTATAGTGATTGAGTAGTGCAATGGGTTAGAAACCATCCTCCAATTTCAACCCAGACATATGGAATGAAAGTCTTCCCTTTCTGCAGAGTGTAAGGTTCCTATCTGCAATGTTGTAATCTATCATGGTGGGATTACACAAAACAGAAATGCTCAGAAGTCAGCGCTATATTAACAAGCTTTGATGGGAACACCATGAGGAATGACCTTTGGATGTATCAAAAAAAATCATCAGCGCAATGCCACATCTGGGATAGATTTAGGAAAATTTTTCTTAACCTTTACATTGTTGTTTCCAATCTGAAAGTGCAAAAAGTAGAAAGCAAATATCCAGCACTACATTTTGACGAGCACAAGTAAAGAACAAATTAAAAGCTTATACAGATATCAAACGAGTTTTATTTTAGGGGTTAGGTGCTGCGAGTAAGGATTTTATTGCTCTTATAACTGCAGACTGAATATTATAGTGCCACTAAATAAATCCTGCAGGCTTCATTTTTTAATGAAGGTTGCATTACCTATAGCTCTCTTGATATCAAAATATTTCACTGAACAGCAGGAGTTGCAAAGGACACAATGGAAAAGCTGTAACTGTGGTCTCCAGATTTGGGAGCCATGTTTTTTGAAATTTTCTCACCTTAAAACTAATTATTTTTAACCTGAAGTTAACATAGATCACTGCAATAACAGATAAAACGAGAACTGAAGTTAAGCTATTGGTAGTAAATCAGGCAAAACTATCCATTTAGAATGAGCAAAAACATTAAACGCAAATAACAGTACAATATTAAGCATTTCAATGTAAAACATCTAAATTCAAGGTTTTATATTTTCTTCCCAAAGGGCTAATAGTTTCACTCCATATGCAAGATTTAAATTTGGGAGGTGGGGTGGAGATGAGAAGTGATTCCAAATATGTCAATTTATTCAACTGATTAATTATAGAGAGTATAAAATAATAATAGAGACCAGGAGAATGATTACACCTGAGTGAGATCTTTGAATAAGCTTTTCCCAAATGTTTATTCTTTTCCCATAGTCTTCCAAATCTTATCCCTGTCAAGTATTTACTCAATTCTCCTGTACAATTTATTCTTGAATTTTGTTCCATCAGGTTTTCATGCAGTGCATTCCATATTCTGCATAATTTTCTTTCCTGATGTCAGTATTAGTTCAATTAAGACCCACTGTCTTAAAATCTGTGCGCTCTGCTTATTAATCCTTTTGCCATTGGAAGCAATTTTCCTTATTAACTTTAGATTTTGAATCATTCTTTAGTTAATCTTAGCAGTGTCTTTATCCTGCAGACAGAATCATCCCTAGGCAAGGGTGAATTGGGGTGACTACCTGGACACTGCACGGTCTTGGAATTTGCCCTGGAAAGTGCCCAGATCACCCCTGAGAGTTCCCCACAAGCACTGCCTATCCAGGAAATGTTGCCTGTGAACAGAAGTATGAGAATCTCTCCTGCGCCTGCAGCTGGCTTAGCAAATGGAGAGACAAGCACCGTGTGAACATGTAGTGTAATTTTCTCAGGAAAAAAGGACTTGTACAGTGTGATTTGCCCTTTGGGAAGTGCACACAGTTTCACATACCCCAGGGGAAGGGAATGCATATAGTGTGATTTTCTCCAGGCCCCACTACCCTCTAGGGACAGCTCTGCCCACAGTTAAGATTTAGCACCTAAGAGAAGTACTCACTGGATTAAGCCAACATCTTCGACAAAAAATTTTACTCGGAGAAATAGGATGAAATTTACAGTAATTCTGTTTTTTTTCTTTGCCTCTTTCCATCCCTCTGGAGCCACTTTGGACAATTTACAGTCAGGAGCAACAAAAAAGAATTCATTCTCTATAAAACAAAACATCTTAGCTTAGGAAATAGTTCCACATACTTTTTATTGGCACATTTGCTATGTCTGAAACTGTTTTTGACATTTACATTTTACATTTATAGGTGAACTTGAACATGGATAAGGTATGTCAATGGATACAATCAGCTGCAAATGGATTCTACAGGATCGAGTCTAGATGACTGAGGCAATGGCCAGCAAAGGTGAGACACTGGGGAGACATGGATAGGTGACACATAGAGGCCAGAATTAAAGAAACTGAAAGCTCAGAGAGGAACAAAGTTGGAGGGCTAAAGCAGCTTACAGAAAAAGTATAAGGCCACAAAAGGATTTAAAGCAGAGTAGATTTTAATTCTGAATTATTGGGGTTTGGGACTAACATTGATCACCAAGGGCAGGAGTGAGTTAAGTCAGAATTTGTGGAAATCAGTTACAGGCAACAGAAATTTTGATCTGTTGAAATTTCTGGAGGTTGGCAGGTGGGAAGCTGGCCTAGAGAATACTAGAATAGTTGAATCTGGAGATCGAAAAGTCATGGCCGAGGGCTAAAGCAGCAATGAACTGAGGCAGAGATAGAGGTGATCACAAGATGATCAGAGGATTAGATAGGGTGGACAGTGGGAGCCTTTTTCCTCGGATGGTGATGGCTAGCACGAGGGGACGTAGCTTTAAATTGAGGGGTGATAGATATAGGACAGATGTCAGAGGTAGGTTCTTTGCTCAGAGAGTAGTAAGGGCGTGGAATGCCCTGCCTGCAAAAGTAGTAGACTCACCAACTTTAAGGGCATTTAAATGGTCATTGGATAAACATATGGATGATAAGGAATAGTTTAGATTAGACGGGCTTCAGATTGGTTTCACAGGTCGGCGCAACATTCAGGGCCGAAGGGCCTGTACTGCGCTGTAATGTTCTATTATCTATGTTCTATGTCGGTGGATGACTTACAAAGCAGCAAGCAGGCAATCTTTGCAACGAAGAGTACATGGGACTAGCACCCCAACAAGTTTTGAAATAGTTTTTATCAGCCTGAGGCATTACCAGGGAAGGAAATGGAATTTGTGGTTGCAGCATAGATTGTGTGTCAAATGTTAAAGACTAAGGCTTCGGTCTTTCCAAATTTTTAACTGGAAGAGTTGCGAGTTTGTCAGCATACATTTGAAAGCTGACCTTATGCAAGTAGATAATGTCACCAAACCTACCATCACGATGCAGAAGGGACCACAACCAGCTCTATAGTACAGACTGGAGGAAGGTGCGTCATGGAAAGAGAAGCTACTGTTGGAGGTGTTTTAACTACAACTAAATAAGTAGGAGTGAAATGAAGCAAGGGGAATCTCAACAAATAGTTGGACAAAGGAAGAAAGGCATTTGAGGAGGAGCAGAGAGAGACTCAGGAGGGGTAACACACCACAGCCAAGAGGATATAATTTATGACTGTGGTTAAGGCTGCTTCAGTATTGTGGCAGGGTTGGAATCATAGCTGGAAAGGTTCAAAGAAGTTAAAAACCATCCTTTGCCGATTTCCCACAATGCTAACCTATATAATTAATTTTACTTTACAAGACAGCAAATATGTTTAGACAACGATCATAGACATTTCTATCTACAGTACAGACTAAAGAAACTATTTTTTGTTGTTTTGTCTTTTAAGATGTACTATAATAATGCATCACAGTCCTGAAAGGAGGA